AGAAAGAAAACATTTTGTAAGTTTTTCAAATAATTTACACAAATATTTTTAACCTGTCATACTATTTGAAAATTTAGTCTATGTTAAAAAACATTATGGAAGTGTAGTAAGTTCTTTCCTTCAGCTAATACAAACTGATACAGTAGTTGATCTTTAGGAGTGAATGAAAAAAAGATCATTAAATAGTACATTAGTAGTTAAAGTATTCTTTGCCAAATATGTTCAGCTCTCTGCCTTCCAAATACAAAACAGGACTGCACTTTCTGGCCTCCCAGTGGGTGGGGCCAATAAATAGAAGGTGAAAGTGAAATGTGTCACTTCCTGGTCAAGGAGTCATTTATCCGTGCCAAGGAGGGTTATGCATCAATGTGAAATTATATTTAGGAAGATTCGTCTTGACAGCAGCATACCAAATAAATTGGGAGAAAAATAGGAACTAGAACAGTGAGAATGGTAGTTGTAGTAATCTAGATAAGATTTGGTGAAACTCTCTATCAGGACAGCAGCAGTAGTAAGGAAACAAAAGAACTAATCTAAGATATATTGAGGAAAGAACCTGCAATAATCAACTGATTAAAAGAAAGGGATAAAGCAGAAGGAAACAACACAACTCCCTAAATTGAAATTTACATTTGTGATTTCATTAACCAGTGATCTATGTGACAGGGGAAGTAAGACAGGAATGGAAAAGAGAAAGAGAGATAACTTGCATTTTAGATAACCATTACTCAAACCAGGATACTTTAACCATGGAACAGGATGCTATTAATAATTATACCAGTACAACAGACGTAAATTGGGACTATACTGGGCTCACTTGGACAGAATGTCAAAATACCATGTTGAGTTTCAGGTGACTGAGAATTCAGATGGGTGTATTCTACAGCAGTTGCGAATACAGGTGTGAAGCTTGAGGTTGAAAATAGACATTTATAATACTGAAGCTCCAAATTTCTTAGAGGAGGTAATAGTAGGAGAGAAAAAGAAAAAAAAAGTAAAGCCCGGGTTTGTTTGCAAAAAATTATTAAGTAGCTAAAGTTGTTTTTAATTCCTCTCTTCCCTAAGAAACTGGTTTTGAAGTGGCTCCTGAAGTGTGTTTCTAAAATTCTTTGTAAAGGGACAGAATCTTAGCTTAGTTACCTTAAGTAGTTGTTTTCCAATCGTTGGGCTCATCTTTTCATCCACCATAAGAATTACAATTCCCCTGTCATCCATTCCCCTCCTTCCCGCACGACCAGACATTTGAATGTATTCACCAGAGGATATCTGAAAGGACATAATTAAAATGCTGTGTTTTGGGGAAAACCTGGTAAAAAAAACTCTCTTAAAAAATCGTATTGTAAAATATGCAAATACATGTTATATAGTCTGAAAAAGGAAACATGGTTAAAAGCAACATAAGCCTTTAGGAGCACCTAAGTGGAAGCATAAAAATGCAACACACTTAAGACCATGTTACAAAACTACATATTATCTCCAAAATGACTTAACTTTTAGCACTAGACCAATTACCATTATTTTATACTTTCAAATACGCTATAGCTACAGGAAAACACTGGCTAATTCACCGGCATAAAAAATATCTCTGAGCAAGATACTCTAGAAAATGGCAAAGTCTAAGAAAGAAAATAATGATCCAAACTCAATCAAACGGCAATTCTGACTTGATCGTAGCAAGCTTTTTTAATCTGAAAAATGAGATTAATATAAAAATAATACATTTTTAAAAGAAAAAGCATCATTCTCTATTTTCTCAACATATGTCTTTGGAGTTTGCCAGTCTGTTTTTCACTGAGAACCACCTAGCGAAGAAGGGTTAATAATCCTCTCGTGTATAGGATTTCAGGATGGCACTAAACAACCTGAACACTAGGCAATGTTTTAACTATAAGCGCACATGTACTTTTCTCCTGTGGAAAGGATCCAGAGTTGTTACATTCTCCAAAAAAAAAAAAAAAATTGTGGCTCAAGAAGAGTTAAGAAACACTATGCTACAAGAAGGCATACTGATAGCATCAAAAACAGAGCTGATAAACCAGGAGCAAAGGAAGGGACCTGAAAAAACAAAAAAAGACAATCCTATAAAGATCAGAAAAGAACATTTCAAAAGGGCAGTACATAGAAATAAAATCTCAACAGGGTCCAAGGATATCATTATGTTACAGCCTATTACACCTTTTAAATTTCATTCTAACAATGATCTTGAATCGTCAAGAAAAGGTTGCTTTCAGACTTCATCAGCCTGAGACCAGAAGAACTAGATGGTGCCTGGCTACCACTAATGACTGCCCTGACAGGGAACACAACAGAGAGTCCCTGATGGAGCAGGAGAAAAGTGGGGTGCAGAACTCAAATTCTAGTAAAAAGACCAGACCTAATGGTTTGAGACTGGAGGGACCCTGGAAGACACAGCCCCTGGACTCTCTGTTAGCCCAAAACTAAAACCATTTCTGAGGCCAACTCTTCAGACAAAGATTAGACTGGACTATGCGACATAAAATGATACTCGTGAAGAGCGTGCTTCTTAGCTCAAGTAGATACATGAGCCTAAATGGGCAGCTACTGTCCAGAGACGAGATGACAAGGCAGAGAGGGTCAGGAGCTGGTTGAATGGACGTGGGAAATCCGGGGTGGAAAGGAAGAGTGTGCTGTCACAGTGTAGGGAGAGCAACGAGGGTCACATAACAATGCATGTATAAATTTTTTATGAGAGACTAACTTGAATTGTAAACTTTCACTTAAAGCACAACAATTAAAAAAAAAAGGTTGCTTTCTAAATTCAATTACATACTGCACTCCTTACCCTTACCCTGGGGTCCATGTACCACTCACAAATGACAAGGAGATGCCAGGGAGCAGGTAAAGTAAAAGTAACTTATTTATTTACTTATTTTCTTGTGGCAGCAACTTTATTCAGATAAATTTTAGACAGGTAAGATTATGAAAAATTTTTAAATTTATATTAATTTACAACGGAAAACATACATGAAAGACTTGCAACTGCTTTACAATTAAAATTATATTTTACATGAATTAGCCTTCTTTCGATTTAAAGAAGTGAGAAGTTATAAAAAATTTTTTGAAGATTATGTAAAAATTTCTAAAGAGAAATGGCATTGCCTTACGGTCATGCATGTGTCCCCCCAAAAATATCTGTCAACTTGACTAGGTCATGATTCCCAGTACTGTATATGATTGTGTAACCTGATGTGATTTCCTTATGTGTTATAAACTCTTATCACTATGATGAGGTTATATGTGATCTCCTTATGTGTTGTAAACTCTACCACTATGATGAGGTTATACTGATGATGTCTACAAGATTAGATAAGTGTCTTAATCCCATCTCTTTTGAGATATAAAAGAGAGAAGCGAGCAGAGACACACAGGAAACTCATACCACCACGAAAGGAGTGCCGGGAGCAGAGTGTGTCCTTTGGACCTGAGGTTCCTGAGCTGAGATGCTCCCAGACCAAGGGAAGATGATGACATGGATCGTCCCCCAGAGCTAACAGAGAAAGTGTTCTCTTGGAGCTGACTTGTAGCCTACTGGATTGTGAGAGAATAAATTTCTCCTTGTTAAAGCCATCCACTTGTATTTCTGTTAGAGCAGCACTAGATGACTAAGACACTTACTATACCTACATTTCTCTTTTGTATGTCGTCCAACACATTTTAAAACAAATCAAGAAAAATACTTTGCTATTACAATTCTACTACGGGTCCTTTTCAGTGTTTTGATGATTAGTAATTACTTGCCAGAAGCTTCTATAAGCAGAAAAGAGTCACCAATTTCAAGAATAAGTAAGTAAAAGAACAGCTGACTATTTAAAAATGCCAGACTCTGTGAGTCTCTGGCTCACAATGGATACTCAAACTAGAATCTGTCTTCTTTAACATGGTCTTCACCCCGCCAACACTCCACCGCTTGTGTGGCAAATAATCACTCATCTGTCACTCATTTTAGGGACTGCCTTCTCTATGAAATCTACCCTGACCAAGTCTACCCTGGCTCCCTTATGTACAACTGACTTTCTTTCTTATGCTGTATCTTTCCTGTACGTATTTCTCACAGTGTCTAGAATATAATATTTTATCGCACTCCTCTACTTAAATGTCTGTCAACTTGCACCTGTCACTGTTTCTTTAAATTAGGAATTGGTTTTTATGTTTGTTTTTTAATTTTAGTATCTCCAGTACCTGCCAAAGTTCTAGGCCCACAGTTGAACTTCGGTTTGCTGAATGGGCTACTTCCTTCTAGAATAAGGATTTACTTTTTACCTCAGTTCATTGTTTCACCAATGCTCCCAATTTTCTCTCTTTCCTTGTGCCTTGGAAAAGAGGTGTATGCAAACCTGTTAGAACGTCTGTTTTAAACATTAACCAGTGAGCTGGAACTACTGTCACTGTACTAAGGGTGCTTTAAATCCCTTAAAACTTTTCTTTTTTTTCCCCTTAGGGAGGTGACTGGTTTGTGATAGCAGTCTTTTTCAATTTGTTGAGATTTCCTTGGTGGTTTACATATGGTCATTATTTGTGATTGTTTTTGTGAGTTTGTTAATCATGTGCATTTTCTGATTATCAAAATATAATAACTCTTAACATATATATCTTTATTAGCTCAAAATTTCCAAATTGTTTTATTCAAATCCTCAATATTCTTTTTTTTTTTTCCTTTCTGCTGTACAGTTCTCTGAAAAGAATATGTTACAATCCTGCACTATGACTGTAAACTTATTAATTTTTCCATGGAAGTCTTTCATTTATAAAGTATATTCTGGAGCTGTGAGGTTAAATGAACAGTGCTATGTATGCTTCATGGATTATTTCTATTATGAACTGTATCACTATGAAATACCTTTCTGTATTAGTTATCTGTTGCTACATAACAACTTATCTACAAATTTAGCAGCTTAAGACAATAAACATTATTTCACAAAGTTTCTGAAGGTCAGGAATCCAGGAGGACTTAACTGGGTGATTCTGAGTCAGGGTCTCTCATGAGTTTGCAGTCAAGATGTTGGCCAGGACTGCGGTCATCTGAAGGTTCAACTGGGGCTGGAGGATCTGCTTCTAGATGGCTCATTCATATGGCTGTTACCTTACGGTCCTCATGCCTACCGGCTGTTGGCAGGAAGCCTCAGTTTCTCACTGTATAGATCTCTCCATAGGATTGCTTAAATATCCTTGTGACATGGTAGACAGCTTCCAAAACAGCAAGTGATCACAGAGAGAGGGCCAAGGATGAAGCCACAACACCTTTTATGACTTGGTTTTAGAAGTTACACACTATTACTTCTACCATGTTCTGTTCATTACAAGTGATTCACTACGTCTAGTCCACATTCGAGGGGATGGGAAGAAAAGGCACCACTCTTTTTTTTGTGGTTTTTTTAAATTGTGCCATAGGTGAAATTTTACAGCTCAATTTCTCAGACAAAATTTATACACATATTATGTGACATTAGTTGCAATCCCTATAATGTGACAGCACACTCTCCCTTTCTACCCTGGGTTTCTTGTGTCCATTCAATCAGTTCCTGTCCCTTCCTGCCTTCTCATCCTGCCTCTGGACAGGAGCCGCCCACTTGGTCTCGCGTATCTGCTTTAAGAAGCACACTCTTCATGAGAATTATTTTATGTTTTATAGTCCAGTCTAATCTCTGTCTGAAGAGTGGGTTTCGAGAATGGTTTTAGTTCTGGGTTAATAGGGCATCCAGGGGCCATGGCTTCAGAGGTTCCTCTAGTCTCAGTCAGATCATTAAGTCTGATGTTTTTATGTGAATGTGAGTTCTGCTCTGCACTTTTCTCCCACTCCTCAGGGACTCTCTGTTGTGTCCCCTGTCAGGGCGGTCACTGATGGTAGCCAGGCTCTATCTAGTTCTTCTGGTCTCAGGCTGATGGAGTCTCCAGTGTACGTGGCCCTTTTCTCTCTTGGGCTAATATTTTCCTTGTGTCTTTGTTTCTCATTCTCCTTTGCTCCAGGTAGGTTGAGACCACTTGATGCATCTCAGATGGCCATTCACAAGCTTTTAAGACCCCAGCCACCGCTCACCAAGTGGGATGCAGAACATTTTCTTAATAAACTTTGTTATGCCAACTGACCTAGATGTCCCCTGAAACCATGGTTCCCGGACCCCAGCCCCAGCTACTCTGTCCCTCAAAGTGTTTGGCTGTGTTCAGGAAATTTCTTAGCTTTTGCTTTAGTCCAGTTGTGCTGACTTCCCCTGTATTGTGTGTTGTCCTTCCCTTCACCTAAGAGGATTCTGTGTATTATCTAGTTAGTGAATTCCCATCTCCCTCCCTCCCCACCCTCATAACTATCAAAGAATGCTTTCTTATGTGTTTAAATCTTTTCTTGAGTTCTTATAATAGTGGTCTTATACAATACTTGTCCTTTTGTGACTAATTTCACTCAGCATAATGCCCTCCAGATTCATCTATGTTGTGAGATGTTCTGTGGATTCACCATCGTTCTTTATCGCTGTGTACTGTATTCCATTGTGTATATGTACCATAATTTGTTTATCAATTCATCTGTTGATAGGCACTTAGGTTGTTTCCATCTTTTTGCTACTGTGAACAGTGCTGCAATGAACATGAGCGTGCATATATCTATTCATGTGACAGCTTATTTTTCTAGGATGTATTTCCAAGGAGTGGGATTGCTGGATCACATGGAAATTTCTATTTCTAGCTTTTTAAGGAAGCATAAAATCGATTTCCAAAGTGGCTGTACCGTTTTATATTCCCACCAGCAGTGCGTGTTTGTCTCTCCACAACCTCTCCGATGTTTATTATTTTGTGTTTTCTGGATTAATGCCAGCCTTGTTGGGGTGAAATGGTTATCTCACTGTAGTTTTGATTTGCATTTCTCTAACAGCTAATGTTCGTGAGCATTTCCTCATGTATCTGTTAGCCGCCTGAATGTTTCTCTTGATGAAGTGTCTGTTTATAGTCCCTGCCCATTTTTTAATTGGGTTATTTGCCTTTTTGCTGTCGAGATGTAGTATCTTGTAGATTTTAGAGATTAGACCCTTATCAGATATATCACAGCCAAAATATTTTACCCAGTCTGTAGGTTCTCTTTTTACTCTTTTGGTAAAGTCTTTTGATGAACTAAATCCCTTAAACTTAAAAGAATATTCTAGATATATTTAAAACGTCTTAAAGCACTCATGAATCATCTGCACACTTACTCCCTAACACCAAACATGCTTACATAAAGGAAATCTTTCTTTTGTGGGGGGGAGTGTTAGGCATAGAATTTTAAGCGGTCTAAAGTCTAACCTTGATTGCCTTGTTGTATTAGCTTGAGTACATGTTCCTGAGTATTTGGGTTTGAAAATCCCTAAGATTAGCCAAAGACAGGGCAGCTCCCAAGTAGGCTCCTGTTAGAATAAACAGCAGTGTGGTGCCCTCTCCCCTACAAAATCAGTTTTAATGTGGAGAGGAGAATGGTAGCCACTAAAAATTATAAAATAGTGATCTCTATAGTCCTGAGTGATATTCTCTGCTTAGAGAAAGCCAAAATCCATAAAAATCCAATAGGTTAATCCTCAGGGCCATTCTAGAGCCACTTGTTCTACCTTCATTCCCTACCCCTCCCTCCAACCTGCTGTTCACTAGACCAACACAGATACCTAATATCAAACTTATATGAAATCCCTAAAGCCAGCATCTCCCTGAGCCTCAGGGATGTTTCTAGTGAAGTCCACTGTAGTCCAGGAATCATGTTCCTATAATCATCATATTTTCCCTAGTACACTATAAGCCTTAAAATAAAAATTCTATAAAGGAAGAAGAAAGTAAATTTGATAAATAAGATTGTTATAATTACTAAGACTTGATTATGAAGTATTAAAATATTTTCATTACATGAATCAAAGCTACCTTAAAGTAAAACAAAGATAAAAATTATTCCACTATATCTATTACTTTACTTACCCATCGGAAATCTTTCCCATCAAATTTGCGGGCATTTGTAAATAAAACAGTTCTAGCTGGCATGTTAATTCCCATAGCAAAAGTCTCTGTGGCGAACAAGGCCTAAATAAATAATTACAGAATTAAATGCATTTTAACCTTAAAACTAGTTTTATAACTTGTGTAAATAAACATGTTATTAATTTTTAAAAATTAGTCATTAACTAAAAAACCAAAACCAAACCCACTGCCGCTGAGTCAATTCCAACCCATAGTGACCCCATAGGGTTTCCAAGGCTGTAAATCTCTATGAAAGCAGACTGCCACATCTTTCTCCTGCAGAGCTGCTGGTAGTTTTGAACCACCAACCTTTTGGTTAGTAGTCTATCGCTTTAACTACTGCGCCACCAGGGCTCCTTAGTTATTAACTAGGCCCTACGAAAATAAAGCAGACAACTTGCTATTCCCAGAAGACACATTTCAGTATTATATATAAACATCTGCATCCCAGAAATTTTTTAATTCAGGGGAAACAGTCCTTCCTGAATTCCAGTGGTGGTAACAGGAGAATACTACTGGCCTAAAACACAAAGCTTTATTCTGCAAAAATTCCTCATTCCTTCACTGATGATGCACCAGTTTTGGGGATCACTTCAGCTTTAAGATCTCTGAGGGGAGATCAGAATCAGTGGCTCTTTAAGCTCATTTCTAACACTTTACCAAAAAAATACAGGTATAAGAACACAAAGATGTATGTACAAGGAAAGTCACTGAAGTACTATTAAATAGTCTAAACTTTCATCAATAGGAAAGCAGATGAAAAACAAACCATGTGTATTTATATGCATGCATGGTAGTGGATATATCTGGGAAGTGAAGGGAAAGGATGGTCTCTCATTTTTTACTTTATGTACAATTGTTCTACTTGAATTTTACAACCAGCAAGTATCATTTAGATTTTAAAAGAAAGATTGTTTCAAAAGTGAGGCTCAACAAATATACGATGTCCAGAAAGGAACACTGACAAGGCCTTCCCATGATCCAGGTACAAACAATGACCAATTCTTTACCTAAATTCTGATTTTAAAACCTAAAATAATTTGAGTCATATATAGGCTTATGACTACAATGTAAAGTTGTTTCCCATTTTTAATATTCCATTTGCATATAAAATCAACTTCTATCTTTTCTTTTTAAAATCAGACTCTCTTTAGTTTAAATGAGAACATATGAAAAACTCTCTCTCCTAAGTCTAACCAGCAATTCTCTTTGACTTCTCTAAGAGCATCCTTTTAATCCGTAAGTAGAAAGCAGTCCACTTATAGATGCAACCCCATGCCTAGTAACTAAATAGCACCTTCTCCAGAATTCCACACTGTATCTAACAGCATTACCACTTACTTTAAGACAAGAAAAGGAAACGAACGATTTTACTTACAACCCAAAATTTGAGGTATAAGCTCTACATAAAAATCAAGTTCATTTCCTAAGACATTGCACATGGTTTAAAAAAAAAAAAACAGTTTCAAACCACTCATGTAACACAATTCTGAAGCATAATAAATAAACATGAAATCATACCTTTATCAATCCTTCAGAAAAGAGAATTTCAATGGTTTCTTTTAAAATAGGAAGTAAACCTCCATGGTGAATTCCAATGCCCCGCTTCAAAAGAGGAAGTACATGTTCAACCTGTGATTTTGGAATAACATTTATTTTAAAATGATGTGAGGAAATGGAAATTTAAAAATGCTAAACTAAATTAAGAAAAAGGGGTAATTCAATCAAGAAAAAAAAATGCTGTGTTTAAAGAAATCGCTATATAACCTTTACAGCTTCAGGATAAAGGCAAAATCCAAACCCATATTCCCATAGATTATTAAACTCAAAACAAAATATTTCTGGCCTAGCTTTATTTAACATGAAAGACATGTCTTTTTGTTGTAAATATACTTTACAAGAGCTTTGGTGTTTCAGTCAAATTTTCTAGGATCACTTCATGTCCTCTAAGAAAATTACAAGCTATGAAGGCAAAGTTGGTATCTGCACAAAATAAACTTAAAAGATATTGCCAACTCAAACGAAAGAAAAATAAGTATAAAATATATTTAATATAAATATGTACCTCACTTAAAAACAAATGAATTACAAAGAGTTCATTCTCTTTATCATTATATCATGTTCCATTAAATACTTACTATTGGAAGTGTACAAAGCCCTGGCAGCACAATGGTTAAATGTTTGGCTGCTAACGGAAAGCCCTGCTAACTGAAAGGTTGGTGGTTCAAACCTACCAACCACTCTATGGGAGAAAAGACCTGGCAATCTGCTCCCATAAAGATTATAACCTAGAAAACCCTATGGGGCAGTTCTACTTTGTCATATAGGGTTGTTATGAGTCAGAATCGACTTGACGGCACATGACAACATTAGAAGTGTGCTAGGATACTAAAAGAGTATAAAGATATGGCTCAGTCCTTAGATACTAATAATTCAGGTGGGAAGAAAATTTATCTTATTTTTAAAATTAAACACTATTTCAAATATCAAGAAACATGCTACTGCAGTCTTACTGTAAATCCCTTATAAAACGAAGTATTCATTTGTAAAGCAGAGTATGATCTCCCAATTTTTCTTTTCACAAAACAAAACTTTCATGTATTAGGTTGATAAAACAGTTCTCAGCTTTGGCTACACGTTAGAATCACTGGGGAAATTTTAAGATATTCTAATGAATAGGCCACACAACAAATCAATTAAATCAGAATCTCTGGGAGTGGCACCTAGGCATCAGTATTTTTTAGAACTCCCCCAGCAATTCCAATAAATAGTAAAAGGGAAAAAAAAACACTGAATTAAAACAAAGCAGACATTAGATTCCTCATTAAATACATGATTTTCATAAGGTATGCTCTATTGTATTGTTTGAATTAAGCCTCATGAATTAAGAAATGTAACTATTTAAAACATTAAACATTTTCAATATTAGGCACAGAAAACATTAATTTTACATTAATTTTCAGACCATGAAAATTTTCAGAGAAAAGTTCCTTTAGGCAGTAAATCTTTCCTTCTGTCACCATTTCAGAAATTTAAAATACAAACCAAGGTATCATTTCAGTGCAACAACATTATTTGCTGCAGTGTGTAAACAGTGCAATATAGTAACACAACCAAGAAATGTAAGTGAATAAAAAAAAACAAACAAACAAATCAACCCACTGCCGTCGAGTCGATTCTGACTCACAGTGATCCTATAGGACAGAGAACTGTCCCACAAGGTTTATAAAGAGCGGGTGGTGGATTTGAATTGCCGACCTTTTGGTTAGCAGCTGAGCTCTTACCTATTACTATCCACACTTTACTTAGTGATGTTAAGCACTCACCTGAGGGAGCTTTTTATCTTCATCAGACAAGCAGTCAATTGCATTACTGAATACTTCTTCAACCATCTTCTTCTCTTCATCTAAAGAGAAAATCCAAGGGTATATAAACGTCAAAATGAGTCAATGATAAAAAATTTCACTCATTTTTAACAAAGAAATAAGAGTCTATAGAGTATAAGCAGTGAGTAAATATTTAAGATGATCAAAAGGGAATGTTAGATCAAAATTACCACAGAATTACTTAATAGAATTCACTGTCTTTAAAAACATATCTAGCAAACTTAATCCCCCAAAAGTACTATTTTATAAAACAGTAACATTAATAACTAACTACACTAAGTGCTTAACATGTAACTATCTCATTTAAGTCTAACAGTTAGAGGACACAGGAACTAGGATTATCTGCTTTTTACTACTAAGGAAAATGAAACTGGAAAGTACATAATTGGCCTGCTATTAATTGTCAGAGCCACAGATCTCAAGCCCATGCTCTTAACCATTATACAGCCTTCTTGTACAATGCCTACCAGACAGTAGGTACTCAATAAATACTTGATGAATCAATCAGTACATAACCCTTAAACTTCAAGCATATTCGACACCAGAAGTTTCCAGAAAACATTTACAAACCGAGCAATGCACTTAATCAAAAAACATACAATACACTGGTCTAGTTGTGTGCCTTGATAAAGGACAGTACAGCTGAAATATCATTTTGAACAGTTCAAGATATTATTTACTTCTCACTATACAGGATTATACATATAAAAGGCAGAACTGAATGACAACTAGGTTGGTATTCAACATCCTGCAATGCTAGGCCCAGCTGATCTACTATTTAGCTGTATGACTTTCGGGAAGTTACATTTATAATTGATGTATGGAAGTAATTTATCAGTTTGCTAAAAATTATCTCACTTTGAGAGCTATAGCACAATCAGGTAAAAAGTAACAAGTCCTCCTGATTAGGATTTCTAGAAGAAATGAAGCAGAGTACCAGTGCAGAATGTGGTCACACCAAGAGGTCCATCATTAAGTAGCTGGACAGAGAACCATGATCACTGAGGAGCATACGGCAATGAAGTATAAGAAGGCATGATTCTAATGTTTTCTGACAGGGCCCTTAGGATTTTACACACAGCAATGTACTTATCTCTTTCGATAAAAGAATACAGAAGAAAGAAATGATCAATCAGTGACCTCTTAAATGCTATCACAAATATGCTAAGTACCTACCACTGTAACTGTAAGGTGAACTGCATATGCTAGTAACAGACAATAGATAAATGTATTACTAGAAATATACTTTATGCTCCATTTTCACATAACATTAAAACTATACTGAAATTATGTAATACCTGTGTTAAAATCTAATTTGGTCATCTGAAGTGCATAAGCTTCACAATCTTTCTTACTAAAACTGAAAATAATTACAGGTTGAAAATTTCTTTCCATAATCATCTTCACAATCTTGAACACATTTGATGGTCCTGCAAAAAAGAGATCGACCATATACCAAAATTAACTCACGATTGATCGTAGACCTAAATGTAAGTGCTAAAACTATAAAACTCTTAGAAGAAAATCTTCATGACCTCAGGTTAGGCAAAGCCTTCTTAGATACAATATCAAAATCTCAAACATAAAAAAAAAAAAAAGACAAGTCAGACTTCCTAAAATTAAAAACTCTTGTGTTTCAATGAACACCATCAAGAAAGTGAAAACACAACCCATGGAATGGGACACAATTTTTGCAAATCATATATCTAATAATGGCCTTGTTTTCAGATTATACAAAGAACTCTTGTAAATAAATAATAAAAGGACAAACAACCCAATGTAAAACGTGCAAGGTCGTAAAAAGACCAGACTTAATGGTGTGACTGAGACTGGAGGAACCCTCAAAGCCACGGCCTCCAGATGCTCTGATAACCCAGAACTAACATCATTCCTGAAGCCCACTCTTCAGACAGAGATTAGACTGGACTATAAAATAAAATACTCATGAAGAGTGTGCTTCTTAGTTCAAGCAGATACATGAGACCAAATGGGCAGCTTCTGGCCGGAGGCAGGATGAGAAGGCAGAAAGGGATAGGAGCTGGTTGGATGGACACAGGAAACCCAGGGTGGAAAGGGGGAGTGTGCTGTCACATTGTAGGGGTTGCAACTAGTGTCACATAACAATATATGTATAAATTTTTGTATGAGAAATTAACTTGAGCTGTAAACTTTCACCTGAAGCACAATAAAAAAATAAAAAAATAAATAAAATAAATATGTGCAAGGGATCTAAATAGACATTTCCCCAAAGAAGATATACAAAAGGGCCAACAAGCACATGAAAACATGCTCAACATTATTAGCCATGAGAGAGAAGTATACTGAACCATAATAAGATACCATCTCACATTCACCAGGATGGCTATAATCAAAAAGATAATAATAAGTGTTGGCAAAGATACAGACAAACTGGAACCTTTATACACTGCTGGTGGTTATGTAAAATGGTACAGCCACTTTGGAAAACAGTATGGCAGTTCCACAAAACATTAGTATAATAGCCAAAAAGTGGAAACAATCCATGTCCATCAACTGATGAATGGATAAATAAAATGTGGTATAGTCATACCATGGAATGTTCTTTGGCCGTAAAAAGGAAGGATGTACTGATACATATGCTACGACATGGATGAACCTTAACACTATGCTAAGTAAAAGAAGTCAGACAAAAAAAGGCCATATATTGTATGATTCCACTTACGTGAAATGTACAGAATAGATAAATCCATAACTACAGAAAGTAAATCAGTGACTGCCTAAGAATGGCAGAAAAATAAGGGGTGAATGCTAACAGGTATGGGGTTTCTCTCTGAGGTGATAAAAACGTTCTGGAAATAGACAGTGGTGACAGTTGCACAACTTGGTGAATATACTAAAAACCACAGAATTGTACACTTTTCAATGATGGTTTTAACGGTATGTGGATTTTATCTCAAAAACGCTGTTACACGGGAAAAAGATTAGATTGCTTTCAAAGTTACATAATGCTTAAAATCAACTTATAATCACCCTTTTTCATCACATAACATCTAGATCTTGATATAGCTTCCTGAGGAAAAGTATGTAAAAAAAACAGAAAAGGTCAGAGTAATTTGAATATACAATTTATATATAAAAGTCTTTCAAAGTACAGTTCCAAATTACCTTTTGTTCCACCTTTCCGCCCCTTCTGGTCTCCTTTTGCCAAATCACCTGCATCTCGAAGCACTTGCATTGCAGTATTAAAATTATCTTCCCTGAAGTCACCCTGGAATCATATCTTTCTATGTAATTTGACAAATAATCATAATTCAAACATTTTTCACACGTCAAAAACAAAATTTCCTCACATAATAAAAAAATTTAAAACAATAATTAGTAATTCTCACAAATAATTTTAAAATGATTCAAAAATAATAAAAATGAAAAAATATTAACTCAAAAATCTGTGATACAGGTAATGAAAGGGTTATAAACCTTGGAAGAGTACATAGGAAATATCTGAAACATGCACAGAGCCTCCAACCTACAGGCATTTAAAACGTGTGGGAAGGAGGAAAATACAATTTATTCATAAGAAAAACACAAGTCTTAAATATATTTTTTAAAAAGAAAATACAAAAAGAACAATCAATTTTGCACTATCTAGCTACTTAAGTTAAAAATGGATCTCTTGTTATTACTCTCTCATTTAAAATTAGTGAAAAACAAGGTATAAAATATGATATAAACAGAAGAATGACAATCATCTCCTTACATTTTCATCTACTACAAGGTGGAGGCCATCTCCTCCTGCTGGAAAAATGTAATGTTGCAATGGAGTAGGCCGATAATCTGTGTAAATTACATGGCAAGGCTGTAAAAAGAAAGACAAAAAATTATGCATATTACATTTTATTTATCCAAAATAGAACTGTGCATTTGATCTGCCTAAAAGCCCTTGGGGATATAAACTAGTGAATTCAGCAGTTCAAAAAGCGAAACCTTTTTTTTCTTTAATTTTAAGAACCAGGCCATAGATAACTGTGGAAGAATTAAGTCTATCAAACTGTACATTACCTTTTCAATTTACTAATTCCCTAAACACAGCAGAACACACAACTTAACCTTTAATAATAATCATGGATTCATACTCTAAAATTGGGATGCTGTAATTAAGAGGATACCTCTGTTTCCATGGAACAGGAGCAACATAACAGAAGGCTTCCTGAGATAAAATGGTACATTTCTGCTCTTACAGATTTTTATAAGCATTATTAAAGGGGTAGATTGATCTAGTTCCTCCAGAACTAGGTTTCTATCCCACAGAAGAAACATTGGAGAATGTTATAAAACACTATTAGAGAGATCATAAAAAGATAAAAATAAGTTCATGAGAGTACCAGTATAAAGAAAAAATTAAGGGTCACAAAACAAAACCAAGAACAAATTCAGTATACATAACAAATACTTGTTATTAGGTCCTATGCAGTTGCTATAGGGTCACTATGAGTCAGAATCGACTAGACGGCAAAATGGAAATACAGTCATAAAAAGCTTCACCGTGTTCACATGGTAAAATTAAATTAGATGCTCAAGATATGCCCAGCTTTTCTTGGTACCAAGGTCTCAGAGGAAATTCTCTACTGTATACTTGAGGCTCACTCAATGTATAAATAAATGCAGTAGTTTCCAAACCTAGCAGATGATCAAGATCAACTTGGGAACTTTCTGAAAATTAGAGATTCCAAGGTCCTACTCACAAAGATTTTGATTTATTTTTGGTTTGAGATGGGGCTCAGAAATCAGCACTTGCAAAAAGCTAGTCAGTTGATTTGAATAAGCTGCCTGATACGAGATGTAGCTGAACCTTAAAATTTCTTCTTGATTCTACACAGCATTAGAAACAAAGTATACGACACAATAAGGCTAACTCATAATGTTCTGAACACTGAAGACATCTATAAAGGGAAAGAAAATACCTGCTTGTGTAAGTGGCAAATCCATTCAGCAAACTGTCGAGCATTTGGAATAGTAGCCGAAAGAAAGACATAGTGGACATTATCAGGAAGCAAAATAATAGTTTCTTCCCATACCACACCACGCTCTGAAAAAAAAAAAAAACAAATATACCTTTGAATTCAGTGTCACTTTAGTTACAGTACCTCAAGTTATTTTCTCACGAGCTCAACAATTACAAATGCAGATCGTTCCACACAGGGTTACTTTTAGTCACAGAACTTTACTGAAAACTATCTTAGTTTTCACCATGATTGACCAGGTAAACCAAATCACTATAAAAACAATATACTCTGAAATCATATCCTGCAAAGAGCAGCTCCAGACTAAATCCCTTTCAAATAGCCTAATGGGAGCCCCAATGACAAGGCAGGGGAGTAGTATTCCACTGTACTTTGAGAAGCAAAGGCTAATGGCTTGTACAAAGTTACAGCAACAAATTTCACAGACACACTATTACTATTCCACATGGCATCTTTCACCCAAATTGCACTCATAATCCACAGGGGATGAAAGAAAGATTTAATAAATAAAAGCATAAAAAAAAAACACCAAACCCGTTGCCGTCGAGTCGATTTCGACTCATAGTGACCCTACAGGACAGAGCAGAACTACACCACAGAGTTTCCAAGGAGCACCTCATGGATTTGAACTGCTGACCTCTTGGTTAGCAACCATAGCTCTTAACCACTATGCCACCAGGGTTTCCAGATAAAACTATAAATCAGATTATACAAAGTGGAAAATAAAACCCAGAAAAATAAGTGTGACAGTTTCCTTCTAAAATAAACAAATACAGGATTAATGACTTTTAAAACAAAACAACTCTTGTTCAGAACTTAATTTTGTGAATCTGAAGACTGAAATGATGTAATATTTAAGGTGTACTGCATTCACTATACACACAAGTTAACTAAGTGCTTTAACTAAAAGAAAAACTAAATTTTATTTAAAATGCATATATGGTAAATATTTTAACTTCTAAATATTTGTTAACCTTAACCTCTCCTCCCTCAAAATTCCAAATACACTTGCTATTGTTGTTATTAGGTGCCCTCCAGTCGTTTCCAACTCATATCGACCCTATATACAACTGAACAAAACATTGCTCAGTCTTGCGCCATCCTCACAATCGTTGCCATGTTTGAGCCCATTGTTGCAGGCACTGCGTCAACCCATCTCCTTCAGGGTCTTCCTCTTTTTCACTAACCCTCTACCTTACCAAGCATGATGTCCTTCTGCAGGGATTAGTTGCTCCTTATAATGTGTCCAAAGTACGTGACATGAAGTCTCGCCATCCTCCCTTTTAAGGAACATTCTGGCTCTCTTCTTCCAAGACAGATCTGTTCATTCCTCTAGTAGTTGACAATATATCCAATATTCTTCATCAACACCATAATTCAAAGGCATCAATTCTTCGGTCATCCTTATTCACTGTCCACCTTTCACATTCATATGAGGTGATTAAAAATACCGCTTGAGTCAGGTAAACCTTAGTCCCCATAGTGACATCTTTCTTTTAACACCTTCAAGAGGTCTTTTGCAGCAGATTTGCCCAACGCAATGTTGTCTGATTTCTTGACTGCTGTTTTCATGGGCATTGACTGTGGATACAAGTAAAATGAAACCCTTGACAACTTCAGTATTTTCTCCATTTATCATGATGTTGCTTACTGGTCCAGTCATGATGATTTTTTCTTTTCTTTATGTTGACATGTAATCCATATTTAAGGCTGTACTCTTTGATCTCCATCAGCAAATGCCTGAAGTCCTCTTCGCTTTCAGCAAGCAAGGTTTTGTCATTTATATATCACAGGTTGTTAACGAGTCTTCCTCCAATCCTGATGCCGCATTCTTCTTCATATAGACCAGCTTCCCTGATTATCTGCTCAGCATACAGATTGAATGAGTGTGGTGAAAGGATACAACCCTAATGCACACCTTTCGTGACTTTAAACCACGCAATATCCCCTTGTTCTGTTCAAACGACTGCCTCTTGGTCTATGTACAGGTTTTACATGAACACATTTAAGTGCTCTGGAATTCCCATTCTTCACATTGTTATACATAACTTGTTATGATCCACACAACTGAATGCCTTTGCATAGTCAATAAAACACAGGGAAACATCTTTCTGGTTTTATCTGCTTATAGCCAAGATCCATCTGACATCAGCACTGGTATCTCTCACTCCACGTCCTCTTTTGAATCCAGCTTGAATTTCTGGCAGTTCCCTGTTGATGTACTGCTGCCACCATTTTTGAATTATCTTCAGCAAAATTTTACTTGTGTGTGATATTAATGATATTGTTCAATAATTTCCACATTCTGTTGTATCACCTTTCTTTGGAATGGGCACAAATATGGATCTCTTTCATTGGCTGGCCAGGTAGCTATCTTCCCAATTTCTTGGTAAAGACGAATAAGCACTTCCAGCATTCCATCCATTTGTCTGATCAGAACATTGCCTAATATAGTGCTGGAAAATGAGCCCCCTGATTGGAAGGCACTCAAAATATGACTGGGGAAGAGCTGCCTCCTCAAAGTAGACTCGACCTTAATGACATGGATGGACTAAAGCTTTCAGGACCTTCATCTGCCGATGTGGCATGACTCAAAATGAGAAGAAACAAAATGAAGAGGAAATGGTGTTGCATTCATCATCAAAAAGAACATTTCAAGATCCATCATCAAAAAGAACATTTCAAGATCTATCCTGAAGTACAATGCTGTCAGTGATAGGATAATATTTATAAGTCTACAAGAAAGACCAGTTAATATGTATTAACTATTGTTCACGTTTGTGCACCTACTACTAATGTGAAACATGAAGAAACTGAAGATTTTTACCAACTTCTGCAGTTTGAAATTGATCAAACATGCAATCAAGATGCACTGATAATTACTTGTGATTAGAATAAGAAAATGGAAACAAACAAGGATTGGTAGTTTGAAAATATGGCCTTGGTGATAGAAACAATGCCAGAGATCGTATGATAGAATTTTGCAAGACCAATGACTTATTCATTGCAAATCTTTTTTCAAGAACATAAAAGGCAACTATACACGTGAATTTCACCAGATGGAATACAGAGAAATCAAATCGACTACATCTGTGGAAAGAGACGATGGAGAACCTCAATATCATCAGTCAGAACAAGGCCAGGGGCTGACAGAAAAACATACCATCAATGCTCATATGCAATTTCAAATTGAAGCTGAAGAAAATTAAGACAAGTCCATGAGAGCCTTGAGTAAGTTGTTTTGTTAGGTGCCATCAAGTTGATTCTGACTCACTGTGACCCTATATGCCACCTGAATTAAGAGACCATGTCGGGAAAAGATGTGATGCACTGAACATTAATGATCAAAGACCTGATGAGCTGTGGGGTGACATTAAGGATATCACATATGAAGGAAGAAAAAGGTCATTAAAAAAGACAGGAAAGAAAAAAAAAAGACCAAAATGGATGTCAGAAGAGACCCTGAAACTTACTCTTGGAAGTAGGGTAGGTAAAACGAATGGAAGAAATGATGACGTAAAAGAGCTGAACAGAAGGCTTCAAAGGGCAGCTCAAGAAGACAAAGTAAAGTGCAAAGACTTGGAGTTAGAAAACTAAAACGGAAAAACATGCTGGACATTCCTCAAGGTGAAAGAACTGAGGAAAAAAGTCAAGCCTTGAGTTGCAATACTGAAAGATTCTACTGGAAAAATACTGAATGATGCAAGAAGCATCAAAAGAAAATGGAAGGAATATAGAGAGTCACTGTACCAAAAAGAACTGGTTGATGTTCAACCATTTCAGGAGGCAGCATATGATCAAGAACCAATGGTACTGAAGGAAGAAGTGCAAGCTGTGCTGAACACATTGGAGAGAAACAAGGCTCCAGGAACTGACAGAAAACTAATTGATATATTTCAAATACACCTACTTTTCCATTATTAGTAGTCTAACGGCCCAAGTAAAGGATATTTATAACCTTTCTTTTTGTGTATTTCATAATCCTCATTTTATTCCCATAAACATGCTTTGTTGCCTAACTTTTAAAGTGTTTTTTAAAAATAAAATAATAAAACTCAAGAAAGTTAAACTTTTTAAGTCTGAAGTTTTAGGAATTCTTTAATATTAGTTACATTAGCGATCTCCCTATTAAAAGCAAAACAGTTTTAATTCCATTTGCTGTATTTGAAGCTCCTTTTTTTCACCTAGCAAAAATTTTACTATTTGAGCAGCCATACTTGAATTAAGGAGTCTTGATGGTGCAGTGGAGCCCTAGAGCACAATGGTTAAACACTTGGCTGCTAACCAAAAAAAAGGTCAGCAGTTCGAACTCACCAGCTACTCTGCGGAAGAGGAATGTGGCAGAAAGATGTGGCAGTCTGCTTCCGTAAAGATTTACAGCTTTGAAAACTCTATAGGGCAATTCTAAATTCTACTCTGTCTGTTAAGAGTCAGAATTGACGTGAGGCAGTGGGTTTGAGTTTGGTACTTGAATTAGATCTAACTGTAAATAATATATCATGCTGTCAACAATTTTAAGAAGCAGATATTTACTAGAACTCTAGCCATACCAAAATCCAAAGCAAAATTTAACTTCTTCTTGTTCAAAACTCCTAAGGTCAGTGTTAAGGGTAAATAACTGTCACAAATCTCAACAACACCATAGAATATGCACAATACCTGAATCTCTCATGTAATGAATTTCATCAAATATGACCCAAGCAACTTCTCGCATAACTTCAGAACCTCTGTACAGCATACTTCTCAAAATCTAAAGAAAAGATAAGAAATTTCACAAGAGTTTGTCATAACAACTACTAATTAAACAAAAACTTTTTTCTAACAAGGAATTTGGAAAATTCTCTATCATTGGAAACATTAAAGTAATAGTTATTGTTGTTAGCTGCCGTGGAGTCAACCCCTGACTCATGGCAATCCCAAGCACAACAGAACGAACTGGTGTACAGTCCTACACCATCCCCATGATTAGTTGTGAACCACAGGGTTTTCACTGGCTGATTTTCAGAAATAGATCACTAGGTCTTTCTTCCTAGTCTTAGTCTGAGAGTTCCACTGAAACCTAAACCTGTTCAGCATCAACACAACACACAATCCTCCCTCCACCGACAGTTGGTAGCTGTGTGTGAGGTACACTGGCCAGGAATCAAAGCTGGGTCTCCGACATGGAAGATGAGAATTCTATCACTGACCCACCAATGCTATTTTGAAAATCAAATAATATTCCCTTCTCCCATAAAACCAAAGTAAATTAATTCTCAGTAGTTAGAAATCAGCTACAATCCATAGAGATAATGATTATCACCTCTACTGTCCATATGTCTCAAATATGAAGTTACTACTTGATATGCTCAGCACCAATTCCAAAATACATACTTTCTAAGATATGAGAGCAACTTAAGATCATCTTCCATCCAACACACTGGACCTCATTATACTGTTTGCTCATTTTTTCTGCCTATATCCCCTCACAATATGGATATTTTCTGGCACCCATTATCCTGATTTTTCAGGTAATGGAAATCCTCCACAGATAGAATAAAGTTTTGAGAACAGAAAATAAACTTACTTCAGGTACTAAATGAAAAATGAGCAATGCTTCTGGCTGGCTCTCCACAACAGGAGCTAATTTATGCTCTCTAGTGTACTGTGTCCTCGTAAAAAGCAAGGATATAATTCAAGTATGTACAGAAATACTTAGTACAATAAATATAGCTAACCAAATGAAACTTACGATATTATAACTATATGCAAAACCTAACTATGATTATGGGAAGAAGCTACACATCAGAGCCCCTTTCTTAAAAAGTTACTTACCTATTTGTATCAACCCTCAGATGCAGAAGGAAAAAAAAAAACACACGAAACAAACAGCTACTACTTATATGAAACTATGTATTCAAATCCTTGAAACTATGTACCAAAGCCATCAAAACATTTTGATGTCACTGATAGTAATAAGCCTTTAATAATACTTGATGAAAAAAAATTGTACACCCATTTTATGACAAGTAACAGAAATACCAGCATTTTAGAAATGAATTCATACAATTGCTAGAACATTTTAAGATGAACTTTTCCCTTTCAAATCTACTCAGAAAGAAAAGTGTTACATTTTATCTTTACAGAGCAAGTGATTCAATCACTGGATGCTCTAAATGAAGAGACATATTAATTAAATTAAAAGGGAAAAAATGATGAGGTACTGTATAAATTACCTCTGTGGTCATAACAAGACAAGATGCCGTAGGATTAATAGTAACATCTCCAGTCATCAGACCAACATCTTGAAATTCTTCATACATTTCACGGTATTTCTGGTTACTCAGAGCCTTAATTGGGCTGGTAAATATTACACGCTGTTTCTCCCTTAAGGCCAATGCAATAGCATACCTAAAAATATGAAAGCAAATAAGAATAAGGTAACTACAAAAATTTTACTTCAAGTTTTCTGATTTTTTAATTCTACTAATATGTAAAATATGTCCAAATTTTCCCTAATTACTTGCCTTAAATGGACTCTGAAGAACATTAACACCTTATTCTATTTACTATAGAAATACACTAACATACTGACAATTATTATGACAAATCTGAAACATAGTGCTCTAAAAGAACAAAAATGTTCTAATTTTAACTCATGTCCCCGGGAATTAACGTAACCAGCTACTAATACCTGGAGCCCTAATGATGCAGTGGTTAAGAGCTCAGCAGCTAACCAAAAGGTCAGCAGTTCAAATTCACCCATCGCTCCCTGGAAACCATATGCGGCAGTTCTACTCTGTCCTCAGGGTTGCTATGAGTTAGAATCGACTCAATGGCAACAGGTTTTGAGTTACTAATACCAGTGATTATTAATGGTTACTCTATTTTTACTTGCTAGTAAAACACCTTTGGTACTACAGATGGGAAATTTAGGGCCTCTGCCTGTGAGTTTATACATACACATACTATTAACAATTATGAAAGACTAAAAACAAGAATTTTTTTTTTTTAGTTTCAAAAATACATTAATCCATATGGATTCTTTTTCAATATATAGTATTTATCAAATCAATTCTTGGGTAAAAATTATGGTGGGTTTTGATTACACAAAAGTTCTTCCATACCTATTAATAAAAAAAAATAGTTTTATTTATTTTTTAACGAACATTCAGTTAAGATTTTAATATAGACCATGAAATCAGGATTAAGCTTAGCATTGCAACAGATCCTCCTATTTAGGATATGGTTTCTACCATCAATAGGCTTCTGAACTTTTGGAGAGAAAAATAATATTCATCCCAGCCCTGCCCCAAAATAGTGAAATAAACAAAAAAATTAAGTTACCCAAACAAATATGATCAAATATGAATTGTAAGAGGCATAAATGAAATAAAACATACATATTACAATATATTATCTAAAATGTTCAGTTTTCAACAAAAAAATTAGAAGACATGCAAAGAAACAAGAAAGTCTGATCCATACTTGCGGAGGTGGGGGAAGCAGTTGTAAGAATCTGATTCTGAGTGGGCCCAGATGTGGACATAGCAAACTTCAAAGCAGCTAATAAGAAATATGTCCAAAAATTTAAAGAAAATTGGTCAGACTTCCAGGCAACATGGTGCTATAGTCAGAAGCACCATGCTGCCCCTCTGCAGCAAAGATATGAAAAACTAAGTCAAAAAGTCACACGTCAATCCTGAAACCCTAAGCATCAAATGAAGAGATAAAGAGCCAATCAATGAATGGAATAAGAAACTGACCAAAAACAGAGAGCGAGGAGAGATACGTGCAGAGGTCCCCTATCAGCTACCGCAGCACGGATCAGGAGACAGAACGGGTAACCAGCAATATACGCTTTCCAACTCCCCATCCTTCTTCACCCCCACTCGGCCTCCTCTGCTTCCTGCAGCCAGTCTCTTGGCTGGGAAGCAGTGGCTTCACTCTGGTGTCACTTGGATTCCCCCTAACTGCAGTAGCCGGCTCCCTGAGTGCACTTTGTTTACTGCTGGTGTTGCCTTCTTCTGCTTCTTCAGATTTCTTCCTTACCTCTCACCATCTCCCCCTCCTTTCAAATACCTGGCTCCCTGTGTCATCTTTGCTACTTCCTGAAAGGCTGCAAAACACTGCTTGATCCTGAAACTGCTTCCTGGCCCGTGCTGCCACCCTGGTGGGACCACCCCAGGGCTTTTTGTTTATTTGTTTAATGAGTTGTTCCGTTTTGATTTGTTTGTTTTCTTTTTCTTTACTTGGCTTGATAGCCCCTTCTAGAGGAGCAGTACCACGCATCTTGGAAGTTACTCCCTTACTCTGCG